CTAATGTTTGTAATTTTAAGAGGAGTCACCGTGGGCCAAGAAACAAATGGCACGCTTCAAGATCACGAATTATAAGCAGGTGTATATTACAGTGGTCTATGTGTGCACTCGTTCAAAGTCTCGTATATCTCAGGTTATGACAAATAATATGCTGTAAATCTAACTTTGAGCTGAGAGGTCTTATGTCCCCTAGGGTACTGCCGGAACGTACCCTGGCTACTATCTTATATGCCGGACCGTACTCGCCTACCTCCACAACGAGTTCATTGGCAGTTGCCTACGTTCTCTCCCTAACCCTAACCCTAACCATATCAGATAGTTTACCAGCTGGGTTACTTCCCGGCATACCCTGGCGGACATAGTAGCCCATTATGAGCCTAAGCTTGATTCGAGGAAATTTTTCCATTACCATATAACGTATATATTTGGTGCGGCAAACCAGTTATACACGCCACATTTCAATGGGGATATCTCTGAGAGCATTTTTTAGGAGACGTGTTACTTAGATCACCTGTGTTGTGCATATGTGAATATTCTGTTAATGGTTATTAGTTGCGATTGCATTTTTCATTATATCTGCATCAGTGTCACTAAGATTTGTTGGCGCTCGCTGTGTTTACTTTGGTCTCATACATCGTGTTTTTCTTCATGCCTATGTGTTTATTAGCATCTCGTATGCATACATGTTTTGTAGGAACCTCTGATCACATGTTTTGAATAATCCTCACATTTATTGCTTTTTAGATTCATGTCTTCGTGTTTAATAATCATCACTTAGATGACAGGAGTTTTTATTGGTCACATATGCCACTCAATTTTCAGATCAGTTTGCGCTTTTTGTATTAGATCACTTACCACATGTGTCTTATAGATCAACGTACGTCATATTTTTACATCACATACATCTTAGCCAGCAGCTGTTTTAAGAAAGGAGAGCGTACAACGGCTGAAATTTTCCTGAAACCATGTTGCCAGTATTAGTACGATTAAGAAAACTTTGCCCTTTATTTTGACGATTCTTTGCCGTAGTCATTGCATCAGCTGTCTTACCTTCCCCCTACTAATATAAAACAACACGCTTGTCCGTTTGTCCTTTACGCATGTCTCCTACCTGAGATAATTGAGGCGGTGAAAACTCTGCGCGGTATTTTTGCCGAACCGACTCAAGATCCCGGTTGGTGCCCCGACCCTCTCTCGTTCTGTGGCCAGTATGTTGCTTCGCGGTCCCACTGTGTAGCTGCCATATGGGTCACGCACTGGACTTCATCTACGTCAGTACTAAGTGTTTACTACATCCACGCGTGAGGTGGGCCACAGTGGGTGTCATCACTATGGCAATCAATAACAGACGTTCATTCATTCCATATTGTCACATAATTGACAGCGAATACAGCGAGGTTTACTGAACGCTTTCCCAAAGCGAGACCCCCCGAGGGTCGCACCAACCCGGCGATCTCAGAGTCGGTTTTCCGGCCAAAAATACCAGATCTTCATCGCTCATCTATCGGGCAGCGTAGGGGCATCGTCAGGGGACAAAGCGGTTTGTTTTATATTAGCAGGTAGCGACAGCTGATTCAATTAATACAGCAAAGAATCTAATTCGAATACTTCGCAAATGGTTTCTCGCATTTCACGTTGTACTGTACGCTCTCCTTCTTAACACACTTCTTGCATCTTGTAAATATGGACAAGGATCACCTACAAGCTGATCGCCCACATCATTCTTTTTTTCCTATTAACTCATGTCGTCTTTCTGTTCTCGATCCGCTTGCGACGTGATATTCTCGCTGAAAGTCGACGGTCCAAAGCAGACGGCGCGCGGGTCAGGACATATTCGAGGTCGACGCGTCCCCGACAGCTAAGTGGCCGGCCTGCCAGCGCACCTACGCGACTGTGTCGTTGCACGCGACGTTCGATCAGCCGTACAGCCGCCACGTTTGAGGCGCTACGTGGAGGGGGAGGAAGGTGCGATCGCGTGCTAGACGTTTGAAGTGTCAGGCGACGGAAGCTGGCCACAGGTGCGAAGCAGCACACTCACGCTCGCGACGTGCATACGAGCTAATGGTATTTACTACGTAGTGCGTTAATTTTAATAGTAAGTTATACTACGACTTTTTTTATGGTGTACTGTCTTTTTTTAAGGTGCTAGGTTAACAAGGTATGCACGTTTCATTTTACATACGCACATTATTTACTGTAGATTATGGCCATTATTGTGTTTACCACCAAGACAAAGACCATTGTAGCCCTACTTACAGAGCTGGTTTGAAAGCTGAAACAGATTTCTTTATTTTTCAAGAAGTTATCTTGAACGAGTTGAAAATTGTACATTTCTATGTTTATCTTCAGTTAATGTGTTGTGCTGTGTTAGTTTAAAAGTTATGGTTCATATCGACTTCAAAAATGTGGCGGAAACAATGAATGGATTCCAATTGCGGACTGTAGGTGACGTCGGTACAACCATCATGTGCAACAAGGCAGGAAACCAATGCTGCAGTTTTCAGAACTCCTGGCCGGTCTTCGCAATTTGACGGGTCGTGCTGAAAACGAGAGGGCACGCTTTCTTGGTAAGTAATCAGAGAATGGGTAATTTAGCTGTCACATGTGGCCACAGCAACGAGATGAATGCTAGCTTGATTCGATGAAAGCCCATATATGTGAAGAGCGCATTTCTTCCAATATATTTCACTCAGATTAGTTTATTAGTGTATGTAAGTGTTCCTAGTTTACGCAATGAGAGTAATCAGTCATTAAGGTGTAATTTGTCCTATTGTACAAATACGTGCTGATCGGCTTAGCCATTAGTAATTAATCTTACATACAGTAATTAAGGTTAATAATAAGTTTCATAAGTGTAACGATTTATTCATCGTGTAATCAGTCCCTAAAGGCTTCTCTCGTCGTTTCCTGCACAGGTTCTCCTCGACCTTCGACCGACGGCCGAGCCTTCACCGTGTACCAACAGTCGCCGCCAGGTGGCTGCTCGCTCGAGAGCTTGGCGGTGGCGACGAAACGCGACGTTACAACGTGAACTTCGCGCGACAACTGGCGGCGTGCTTCCAGACAACTCTCGCGTTTTGCGTCTGAGGCAACGACTACGACAGAACGCGGCGATCGTCCGGTCGCCGGCGGACGGCTTTCGCGAGCGACGTCACGGTGTAGGCTCGCCGGGAGTCCGTCCGCGGCAACGGAGACCGCGCCGCGCGCTGCGGATGCCCGTCGCTGCTCGACTTCTGGCGGACTGTCGCGGTCGGCCCGGCGCGCTCGCTTCGCCGTCGTTCATCGGAACCATGCCGGCCGGCCGCGACGCGCCGTGCGCTTCCAGTGGCCGACCACGCAACTCCTCCGCTTCTCGCGCCGCGGTCGGCACCTGCATGCGCGCTGCTCTAAAGGAGCTGACGCTTCGACGCTCACCGTGCGACGAGCCACGCCGATCGCCGACCGAGCGTCTCGTCTGCCGCCTTTAACCCGCCTCGCTATTCGCGTCGACCCGTCAGAGACGGTGCCGACTGCGAACGACCGGCGAGTGCCGTGCGGTGGGACGATGCGGCTGCGGCGGCGGGAGCGGGGGTCCGAATTAAGCAATTTCTCATTATGCTTGGGAAAACAATTTAAAAAGCGGAAATTGGCGAATCCGCGGAACATTCTCATGTATGTACACCAGTGGAACCACACTCCAGTCGTGCTTGCCCGGGCTTCTTTTATGACAAATGACTATTCGCATCTTCGAAAATGCTTCATAACGTAGGACCATAATTCGTTATCACTAAGAGATTTCCCTGATGTTTTCTAAGGTAAGTGATTAAAGGGAATATGCAGGTTGTCGTGTAAACTGCACATCTATGTGCACCTATAATTCATGCATACCACTCCACTTACACGAACATAGAAGCTCACAAACCATCAAACCTTATGTATTATGGCACTACACATATGTATTACTACGTATTCAGACATCACTGCTGCTGCACATTTGCCTACCACTGTCCAAAGAACATATGTAACGAACCTCGTATGGAACTAACAAGCACTGTCCAACCGTACAACTGTACAACAACGTATCCAACCTCGTAAGGAATGTGTAAACACTGTTCAAAGAATGTGTACAGAACCTTGTAAGGAACGTGTCAGCACTGTCCAAACAACGTCTAATATTCACCTGCCTCTACCACACTGTATTGAATACCACGTACCTGTTCATCCTCCAGGTACTGACGATCCATTTCCAGACAGTAGAACTCGATGGGGAAGTCACAAGGATTGCTGACTTTCACCTCTGTCTCAATGCCGGCCGCGTTGGGTAAGATGGGTGCAAACTCCAGCACCGACGGTGAGAATTCCAGCTGTGGCTCCAGACCCTGCCCTGACAGCCTAAGTCTAGGGTACTCACTAGCACTAGACTCATCTAGCACCAAGGTCACCTGCTCTGTGTAGCATTTCTGTAGAAGCGAAGTGGTTCATGACATTTTGAATGTTCGGGTTAATATATTATTATTATTATTTCGCCGCCGCCATCGTCCCACCGCACGGCACGTCGCCGGTCGTCCCAGTCCGGCACCGTCTCGACGGGCGCGGCGAACGCGAGGCGGGTAAGGCGGCAGACGAGACGCTCGTCGGCGAGCGTGCGTGGCTCGGCGCACGTGAGCGTCAGCGTCACCTCCTTAGAGCAGCCGGCATGCAGGTGGCCGACCTGCGGCGAGAAGCGGAGGAGTGCGTGGTCGGGCCACTGGAAGCGCACGGCGGCGTCGGCGGCCGCCGCATGGTTCGCGATGACGACGGCAAGCGAGCGCGCCGCGCCGACCGCGCAGTCGCCGAAGTCGACGACGACGGCATCCGCAGCGGCGCGCGCGTCTGCCGTTGCCGCGACGACTCCCGCGAGCTCGACCGTGACGTCGTCGGCGAAGCCGTCGCCGGCGACGACGATCGCCGCGTTCTCGTAGTCGTTGTCCTCGACGCAAACGGCGAGATTCGTCTGGAAGCACGCCGCCGTTGTCGGCGCGAAGTTCACGTTGTACGTCGCCGTTTCGCCCACCGCAAGCTCTCGAGCGGCGCCACCTGGCGGCGACTGTGGTACGACGGTGAAGGGCTCGCCGTCGGGTTCAAGGTCGAGGGAGACCTGTGCAGGAAACGACGGAGAGCCTTAGCGACTGATTACACGATGATATAAATCGACACTTATGACTTAATTATTAACCTTAATTACTTATTAAAAGACTTAATTACTAATGCTAACCGATCACACGTATTTGACAATGGACAAATTACACTCTTAATGACTGATTACTCTCATTGCGTAAACTACGGAACCACTTACATACACTAATAAACTAATCGTGAGTGATATATTGAAGAGATGCGGCTCTTCACATATATGGGTTTCACCAATCAAGCTAGCATTCGTCTCGTTGCTGTGCCACTGTGACAGCTAAATTACCCATTCTCTGATTACCTTAGAAGAAAGCGTGCCCTCGTTTTTCAGCACGACCGTCAATGTGCGAGACCGGCCAAGGAGAGTTCTTGGAAAATGCAGCATTGGTTGTCCTTCCTTGTTGCACAGTGATGGTTGTACCACCGTCACCTACAGTCCGAAATTGGAATCCATTCATTGTTCCGCACATTTTTGAAGTCGATATGAACCATACTTTAAACTAACACACACAACACATTAACTGAAGATAAACACAGAAATTTACAATTTTCTAACTCGTTCCAGATACTTCTTGTCAAAGATCTGTTCAGTCTTTCAAACAGCTCCCTGTAAGTAGGGCTACAATGGTCTTTGTCTTGGTAGGTAAACAAATATGGCATAATCTACGTAAATAATGTGCGTATGTAAAATGAAACGTGCATACGTAACGCACGTAACGTACATAAGCGTGTATTTACATAACACACGTAAGCTCGTATGCACGCGGCGAGCGTGAGTGTGCGCTTCGCACCTGTGGCAGGCTTCCGTCGCCATACACTTCAAACGCCAGCACGCGATCGGCGTCCTTCCCTCCCCCCTCCACGTGCGCCTCAAACGTGGCGCTGTACGGCTGGATCGACGTCGGCGTGAACGACACAGTCGCGTAGGTGGCGCTGCAGGCGGCCACGAGCTGTCGCGACGCGTCGACCTCGAATATGTCCTGACCGCGCGCCGTCTGCTTTGGACCGGTCGACTTCAGCGAGAATATCACGTCGCAAGCGATCTGAAAACAGAAGACGACATGAGTAATAGGAAAAAAAGAATGATGTGGGCGATCTGTAGGTGATCTCATATTTACAAGATCAAGAGTGTGTTAAGAAGGAGAGCGTACGTACAACGGTGAAATGCTGAAACCATGTTGCAGTATTAGTCGAATTAAGATTCTTTGCTGTATTATTGATCAGCTGTCCTACCTAGCTAATATAAAACAAACCGCTTGTCCCTACGATGCCCCTACGCTGAGATAATGAGCAGTGAAATCTGGTATTTTTGCCGAAAACCGACTCGAGATCCCGGTTGGCTGCGACCCTCTCTCGCTTTGGGATAGCTTCGGTAAACCTCGCGTGTTTCCGTCAATGATTGACAAATGGAATGAATGACGTCTGTTATTGATTGCCATAGTGATGACACCCACCTGTGCCCACCTCACGCTGGATGTAGTACACTTTAGTACTGACGTAATGAGTCAGCGCTACCATGGCACTACACAGTGGCGACCGGAAGCAACATACTGGCCACAGAACGAGAGAGGGTCGCAGCCAACCGGGATCTTGAGTCGGTTTTCGGCAAAATACCCCAGATTTTCACCGCTCATTATCTCAGCGTAGGAGCATCGTAAGGACAACACGGACAAGCGGTTTGTTTTATATTAGTAAGGTAAGACAGCTGATCAATACTACCGCAAAGAATCGTCAAAATAAAACGGGCAAAGTTTCTTAATTCGACTAATACTGCAACATGGTTTCAGCATTTCACCGTTGTACGCTCTCCTTCTTAAAACGCTCTTGCTAAGATGTATGTGATGTAAAAATATGACGTACGTGATCTAATAAACACATGTGGTAAGTGATCTAATAAAAAAAGTCGCAAACGATCTGAAAATGTGTGGCATATGTGACCAATAAAAACTCCTGTCGTATGTGATATATTAAACACGAGACATGATCTAAAAAGCAAATAATGTGAGGATATTCAAAACATGTGACACAGGTTCTAAAAAACATGTATGCATACGAGATCTAAAAACAACATAGGCAATGAAAAAAACACGATGTATGAGACCAAGTAAACACACGAAGCAAACAATCTTAGGGACACGTGATGCAGATGATATGAAAATGCAATGCAGGCAACCTAATACATTAAAGAATATTCCATATGCACAACACAGGTGATCTAAGTAACACGTCTCCTAAAAAAATGCTCTCAAGATATCCCATTGAAATGGTGGCGTGTATACTGTGTTGCCACAAATATAACGTTTAATGGTAATGAAAAATGTCCTCGAATCAAGTTAGGCTCATAGGGTCTATGTCCCCCAGGGTACTGCCGGAACGTACCCAGCTGGTAACTATCGGATATGGTTAGGGTTAGGGTTAGGGAGTAGGCGTAGGCAACTCCCAAGACTCGTTAGTGGAGTAGGCGAGGTACGGCCCGGCATATTAGATAGTACCAGGGTACGTTCCGGCAGTACCCTTGGGGACATAGACTCTCTCAGCTCAAGTTAGATTACTAGCATATATTTGTCATACTGAGATACAGAGACTTTGACGAGTGACACATAGACATGTAATATACACCTTGCTTATATTAGTGATCTTGAAGCGTGCCATTTGTTTCTTGCCCACAGTGACTCCTCTAAAAACAAACCGACCCTCCTCTTCGCAATACACTCCACCACTACTATCACGTCCCTGAAAAGTAGTCACAAGGTTAGTCAATACTGCTTTGCTAACGTCTTTCCTGTTATCTTATATACTGCTAACCTATCATAACAGTTGCTAGCTGGACTGTCTATATTTGTTTAAAGCATCCAAATTTGTATAATAATATAAAATAATAAATAAAACACAAGATAGTGAAAACCTAGTAAATCAGTGAAAGTTTACTGGATATTACTGTGAACTGATGCGTTTTGTATATTCAATATACATATAGATTCACGACGATAACCACATTGTAAATCAAATAATTACATCAATTCATTCAGAAACTATACCCAGATGGAAACATCTACACCTGAAATCAATTACAAGTCGTATTTTGAATGATAATTTAATAAAGCACACCTGGCTGAACCTCTCAAACACGGCCAGGCTCTTGCAGACCATGTGTTCTTCAAAGATGTCGCCAACATCAGTGGTGTTTATGCTGGCAACACATGCATCTGCTATCAGCTTGTATGGTATTCCGTATGGATAATCATCAGGGTTTCTGTCGGTAATGTTGACAGCCAACTCCTGCATTGCATCAAGCACACAGTATTAGACTAAGAATGATAGCCAAAACCATATATCGCTTTGACAACTTTTTAATGAAAATGCCGTTTACAAACTATGAATGTATTATCTCATTGAAATGCTGCAATGACTGTGTATATTTATGCCAGCAAAATTTTGTACCCATCCAGAGAATTTCGATTCCGTCTGATATTCGCTTCATTCAAGGTCGCCCACATACCTCTTCTGAATAACCCACAGCCTCAGGTGCACATTCGACATTGACTACTTGCTGTTGACCAGGATATACCGTGCCGAACGCTGACTGTATGGTGAACATGCCGAGAATAAGCCTACTCTGGGTCGTAATCAGATCCTGTGCCGGTCTGCAATGTAAATAAAATCCACATCCAGTCACAATCTGTCCCAACAGCACCACTGTCTAACAGAACAAATGTCAACCAGCACAAACTAAAGCCCAGCTGCACACCTTATGAGCACTACTGAGTGAGTTTACAGCATAGTCAAACCTGTACAAGGGGTATTTAACCCATAAGGTGCATGATCTCATTATACAGGAATTTTGGATTTTACCATGCAAGGTATACAATGTATATAGATAGCACGTCTAATCAACAGCAAATAAAATAACCTTAGACATTAATAAACGCACAATGATTTGTTACAAAGTAATATATGATCAGTAAACGCATTTTTGTGAGTTTCTTTTTTGATCAGCATGATAGGCAGTACTGCTGTAGTGACCGCTCCATAAAACAGATGATGGCTGTTATATGCAGTCAGAGCCCATTCAAGGGATACAAAATCAGTGGCCACTCTGCGTTGAGAATGTGGCCATTCTGTACAACGGCTGAATCACCGATATTTTTCAACGACTGGAATTTTACACGGCTACTATAGACAGGTGGCCGGCTGCTATAGATAGGTGGCCGGCTGCTATAGATAGATGGCCGGCTGCTATAGACAGGTGGCCGGCTGCTATAGATAGGTGGCCGGCTGCTATAGACAGGTGGCCGACAAATGCGGGTAGCGGCGGTGGCGGACACGCACCTCAGCTGCTTGTTCACGGCAGGTTTCGGCGTGCCCAGCTGCTGCGTGCCGGCCGTCGATGACAGCGAATCACGACGCGCGACACGCTTCCCCGACCCAACGCCCTCCCGCGACCGCGGCGGCCGCGCCTCCTCGGGTAGCGCCCTCTGGCGGATGGGAGTATCGATGCGAACCAGCTTGCTGATCGTGTACTTGAAGTCAAACTCGCCTGTGTTCTCAATGCTGAAGGTTTTCACCTTCCTGGCTCCGACGGCCAGCGCACCGAAGTGGGTGTCGTTGGTGGGAACAATCCCATACCTGTTTATATATATATGCATATATTATATTATATTACATTATATTATTTTATATTATATTACATTACATTATATTATTTTATATTACATTACATTTCATTATATTATATTAAATTATATCACATTACATTACATTATATCATATATTGTATTATAAAAATATGTATAGAATTATGTGTCCACTATGTGTATTATACACTTTGATTGTATGCTACTCGAAGAGAGCATTGTACATAAAATCTACACATAATAATTATAAGCGAAAGATAATGACAGTCGTCGTGGTTAATTAAACAAATACAAGAACAATACACATAGACACTAAATTATAAACGACTACAATAATAACAGGTAGATGACGAAAGCCTCTATATAAGACAAGAAAGGCAAGACAAGAAGATTTTAGCCCGGCGATCTTAATAGACAGGCAATCGCGAGTATTAATGACTGGGCTAAATTCACAACTCAGAATGAAGTGCACAATGTTACTGCAATGCTACAATTTATTCTGAAATTGCCACCTGAAGATCTACCAAGGTTTAGCTAATTTCTATTCAACTAATTAATCCTAAAATAATGCATTTTTATAACATATGAAGATTTATATACATTCATGTCACGTGAGTCAAGGGTATGAGTTTATGGGATCATATTACATATGCCAAGCTATTAAATTGTGTCTGTAGACATATAATGACCTTACCATATTATGTTAAGATACCTTGGTGACTTTGCTTTACCTGCTAAAAGTTGATTTGGCACTAATCTTAATAGGAATGCAGGCCACCGTCTGTCCATCTTGGCCAAGGTTTGTTTCGATGATAAAACATTTCAGTATAGGTTCCTCTTTGATGATCACCACATGTGTTGGTCTGAACACGAACGAAACCTGCAATCATGCGACATTATAGACCTGTTAAACCTATGCAGACCATACATCTAGTAGCAATGCTTAACCCCAGCATATCAATACCCGATCCATGATAGCCCTCAACAGTGCAGTGCAAGCCCAAAGACACGGTCGAACAAGACGAACATGATTAAAAAATAACCTGCAAAGGTCTGTCGTTCGGCCCGAGGCTCCCCCTGGCGGGCACGACGGAGAACATTTCTTCTAAATTGTCGATGAGCAGATCGGTCGTCTGCCACTGGAAGCTGAATCCGATCTCGTACTTGCCCTTGTTCTTCAGTGAGCACGACTGTTTGGAGTCGTCAAACACCCGCGTGGTGGAGAAATCCAGACCGCCATCCGTGCCTGTGCAAGCAAGTGACTAGTAGCAGTACAGCTAGCATTACCATCGCGTGCTGCAGTGAACTATAGTCTGTCGTGTTTCATGATGAATCTTGCTGGTAGACTATATAGTGTGGCTGTATAATACCGATGAGGCAACTATCTCCGCCAAAAGCCTTGGGGCAGGTCATCAGAAACAAGATTAGGTGTTAACATGAACTTTTTCTTTGAGACCATTGACAGAAACAGGGTAAAGTTAGGAGTTCCTCATATGCAATGTATAGAGGTCAGGTCTATGAGAACAGGGTAATGTTAAGACTAATGTTAAGACTAATTTTGTTTCTGACAACAGGCCCCCTGGGTGCTAACCCAGTGGAATCACGTACCATACAGCACTAGGCCAGGGTGATAGACCACAGAGCACACTTGTGAATTACAGGCAATGAAGTTATAGTCAAGGTCATGGTTAGGTTTGCCTGTGAAGTTTATCACTATAAGACAAAATGTCTGACAAAGCTTGTTGACGAGTTGTCTAGAATCTGTTTCGAGATGCACTGTTAGGCGGCAAGCGATTTGTTATAAGAAGCCACTAAACTGTCTAAACACTGCACCCTTGCCTTTTGGAAAAGTCATATCCAAAGCAACGTCATAGCCTTCTGCCTGGATTTGAATGTTCTCAGTTTGTACTAGACCAAGAATCTGGTCCATGTCGAATACCTACAAAAAATATCCGTAATAAATATCTAATAAAAACTCAAGGTAACTAACCTGAACTCTTCACATTGACAACAATGTGATATGATGCCATATTGATTGTGCACAGTAAAAAGCCAAGTACAAAAAACATCAGTGTGATATCAGATATGCGTTAGAATACCAGCATAAAATTTAAATTTTATTGAAGATATAGACAAACCTCGATTCGAATGGCTTTTTTCACAATCGAAGGCTTTACTGCACGGAAATTCACGTGCAAGGCAAACTCTGACAATGGTTCCACCACTCCGCTATCAACGGGAAATGTAAAGTCTTCACCTAGCGTTTCTTGGCCAGACAATTTCCAGCGGAATGGCAGCTGAGTCTGATTTTTAAGGTAGAGTGTCTTGGTTTCCTTTCTGAAATAAGTAACAGTATTTCGTTAATTCACATGTGTAGAAGCATGCTAATGACGATAACTTGTAAACTATCCTGTGTAGCAGCACACCTAAGGAAGATGACTTATTAACTTTACTGTGTAGCAGCACACCTAAGGAAGGTGCCTCGTTAGCTCACCCGTAGAGCCTTATTCTAACGAAGACACTTCCTTAACTCACCTGATACACCTGTGTAGTAGCAATCTAATGAAGATGCCTCGTTAACTCACCTGTGTAGTAGTACTCTGTCGAACGACAGCATCTTCTTGATGATGGTCAGCTCTGGCCGTAGTCCCCGGCAACAGATGGGAAAGCGGACGACCTCAGGATTGTCCTTCACACAGCACAGCAATACTTCCTCTTCCATGTCGACCGACTTTGGGTACGCCCACAGACGCACAGGCTGGAAAAAGGTAATACCGTATATAGCCTGAGCGCATATATATATATATATTTATTTATTTATGTGTGTGTGTGTACGTCCGTACATGCTTGGTGCGTGCGTGAGTGTGTGTGTGTCCTCCAATGGAGGCATAGCATCTGAACCTGATTATAGCTACATACGTGGGTTTGTGATAGCATTCCTTAGCTGTTTGTGTTCCTACGTTCCCACTAAAGCTGGAGGTTAATGCATCAAAAATCAAAAATCAAAAAACAAAAATGACACCAAAACATACTAAAACACGAATTATGGGTACTATAGTTTATCATACTGTACACACTAAAAAAATTACTGAAATATAAATATAACTTGATAATCCACTATGTTCAAAGAATTGACTGTGTAACTTATTTTTAAAATACAATTAAATTAGATGAAGATCATATCATAACGGGTAATTATGTAAAACTACCAAAAAATCTGTTGAATTAAACAAAGATAGTCTGCCATCGAAATGTCTAATGCACATAATAATTCACACAAATCCAAAATCAAGATCATTAACAGTCAATGAATTTTCACCAAATTATTTTACGTCCAGGGCACAGTGTCCGGTGCACCACTCACGTTATAATACGGCCCTGCCATTACCTTCGACTCGCCTGGTTCCAGCGTGATGTGGTTCTCTCCTGGTTGTAAGAGCGGGGTGGATTGCTCAAGCAGGAACGTCTTACCCGTGACGTCCTTCTGGAAGCAAATGTTCACCTCCGTCTTCGTCATGCTGTTGTTGACGATGTTGAAACAGGCCATGTTGTCCGAGTTTTCCTCATCCTTGAGTCTTCACACATCACGTGCAAAAGCGTACAGCATAATGAGCTGAGACACTGCCCACAACGGGTGTGCATGCATAACCCATATTTAAATGTGCTTGAAAATATGGATTACTTGTGGAAACTACTTGTGGATTACTTCTGGATACTATGGGAAATGTAGAAACAGAATATGGATAAATTCATGTATAATTTATACCTACTAATTATTATAATATTATTTATACATACATACACACGTGTGTGCGTGCGTGAGAGAAAGGGGGAGAGTGCGTGTGCGAGAGAGAAAGAGAGAAAGAGAGAGAGAGAGAGAGAGAGAGAGACAGAGAGACAGAGAGACAGAGAGACAGAGAGACAGAGAGACAGAGAGACAGA